AGTTGTCTTTTTTAAGAATTATTTTATTTAACTTTATTTATGCATTTATTTGTTTTAATTTGACCAGAGAAGGATGGGGGTGGGGTGGGTACTGAGAAAACAGGGCACCAAGTTGACCCGCGGTGAGCCATGTGGGAGTCCAGTGCCCTTAACTACCATGCCATCTGCCAGCCCCAAGATTAGTTGTTTTTTAAAAAAAAATTTTGCAGGGACCAGCAGTTAATGTAATGGCTATGTCGTTGGACTCCCACGTAGTCGAATGCAGTTTGCATCCCAGACCTGGTGGCTTAAAACTCACGCCGGGTGCGTGTGCGTGCGTGCCCAAGATCCCGAGAGGAGAATGGAGGAGAAGGGATTGCGGCGTGACCATCCCCCCTGGGGGTGATTTCTCGCTTTCTGTCTCTCTGTCTCTCTCTGTCTGTCCAGTGAACGCACGCGCCCTATAGTGAAAACCTCTCCAAAAAAAAAAAATTTTTTGCAGAGGGCATGTGTGCTTGCCAGAGAAAGACAGAGGGTAGGAGAGAAAGAGAGAAAGTGAGAAAGCACCATCCATCGTGGATGGTCATGCTGTAACCCCTTCTCCTCCATTTCTCCCTTTTCTAAGCCATTGGGTCTGGGTCTCGAACCACAGTTGGCCATGTGGGATCCGGCTCTTTTAACCACCATACCAACAGCTGGCCCTACCAAAATAGAAACCCACACGCACACACACACACACAAGCACACACCTAAGGCGGTTGGACCCAGAAAACCAGTTAAAATGCAGAGAAGCATAGGCCACATGCCAAATGACAAGTCCCTCCTAGAGTGATGTTGAGTTGAACTCCTCCACGGCAGGGGAGTAGGCTCTACAGGCATCTTAGGTGCTCAATAAACGCTTATTCTTTTGAGTAGAAAATACCATCACTGCCATTCTAGAAATCGTTTCTTTCATCTTCCCACCAATGCCAAGATACTTAAAAACGGCAGTGTTGACTATAATATCTTCACAGTGGAATTCTGATAACACCAAGTAACACTAATTCTTTAGACTCTCTAAAGTGTCACAGAAAAGGTTTCTGTTTTTAAAAACTAAGCCAAGTATAATCAACCCTGCAATATCAAAAAGGAAAAGAAATTCCATTGTTAGAAGTTCTTTTCCTAAATTGCTTCTTCTTCTTTTTTTTTTTTTAAAGAATCATGGCAATCTCTTTATGCTTTAAGATGAAAAAATGGCTAAAGTGAATTAGCATTTAGCAAAGTGGTATTCCTTTATCAGGCTCAGCTCCCCAAACCAGGGAGACTATAAGAGCAGCTGTACAGCTGACCTCAAAATCCTACACTTCTTAAGCATCCGCACAAATACGGGAGATGAGCCTGACAGCTTTACCCCCTACCCTGAACTGCAGCAATCAATGCTTCCTCATATTAAGCAAATTGAGTCCTCAATTCTGTTCACATGCTCTAGAGTAGAAGAAGAATGATCAGGATTTTAAAAAACTAAATTTCAGAAAAGAAAGGAAAATAAGGAAGCTATATAACCAACCCTTCCACAAGAGATGGTGGACTGGTCATAGAAAAGCAATCTGAATTATAAGCAGCTTACTGAGAGTGACTCCAAATCCTGTTTTCTAGAATCTTGGTCTCTATAGATTCCTGTGCATACTTCGATCTTAGCACTTGGTGTATTAACTGATACTGTCTCTGAGTCTTTCTCAGGAGACAAACTACATATTTCTCTGGAACGGGAACCTTACTGATTCAATACCCAGCACCAAGCACAAGTTCTTTGGCCATAAAACACACACACACACACAAAAGCTCTGAACTGCTACAATAAATGACATTCTGTGGCATTCTTGCAGAAGTGAAAGGACCAAAGCTGTAAGCCTAAGAACCTCTAGTTAAAGGGATAAAATGTTACTACTAATAAATAAATATCCAAGTAGGTTAGAGGGGAGAAGGAGAATTGGAAGACTTTTCAGTAGAAATAGTCCCAGTATGCGGCCCAGATGGTGGTACAGCAGTAACGTGATGTTCTGCCAGGCTGACCCATGTGGAAATGTTCACATCTGCAGACCTCCCTGAGAATGCTGGGTACATGTATATATCTGGAGCTGAGGCCTGGGGTAGATTATGGCATCAAGACCCTGATGGGCAGAGCCAGCAGGTGGGATGGTGGTTAAGATGCTGGTTTGACACATGGTTGGAGTCCCAGATCTGGTGGCTTGAAAAATCATGCTGGGGGGACCAGCAGTTAGTGTAATGGCTATGTCGCTGGACTCCCACGTAGTCCACCGCGATTCGAGTCCCGGACCTGATGGCTGCAGCTCACGCAGGGCCCGTGTGCATGTGTGCCCAAGATCCAGAGAGGAGAATGGAGAAGGGATTGCAGCGCGGCCATCCCCCCTGGGGGGTGATTTCTCGCTTTCTGTCTCTCTGTCTCTCTCTGTCTGTCTGGCGAGCACATGCACCCTATAGCAAAAACCTCTCCAAAAAAAGAAAAAAAAATCATGCTGGGCATGTGTGCATGCATGCCCCAAATCCCACGAGACTGGAGGAGAAGGGATTGCAGTATGGCAATTCTTTCCTTTTCACTGTCTCTCTCCAGTGAGCACGCGTGCCCTTTGTCAAAAAATAAAATAAAATAAAATAAAATAAAATAAAATAAAATAAGACAGTTTTGGGAGTTGATCTTGTAGCTCAGAGGTTAAGCTCACAGAAAGGTAGCTCCCACATGGTTGACCAGGGTTCAAGTCCTGACTGTCAGTTTGAAAAATATGTCAGGTGTTTATGCCCAAGATCCTAATGGAGATGGAGAATCAGAGGAAAAGGGCTGTAGTGTGACCAGACCCTGGTGGGGGAGTGGGGGAAGAAGTGTTTCCTTTCTGTCTCTCTCACTCAAGGAAGACATAAATAAAAAGAAACAGTCTCAGTTCCCCAGTTCTCTACAAAGTCAGGAAGAAGGGAGAGAATTTAAGATGAGAAAGAAAAGCCACATCTGATTATCTTTCTACCTTTAGGGGAGATGGTTTTGAGTTTCTTGCTCACGATATATAAATCTCTAAGAACATAAAGGAAGCTCTGACTTAAAACATGGTCAGTCACAATCACAGAACAAGTGAGAGGAGGAGGGATGGGGAGAAGAATGTACGTAGTAAGACCCACTCACCATTTCTCTCACACACATATACACACAATTCCACAGTAAACGTCTGCCTTCCAAGATTCTACCTGCCTGGTAAGGGTCTGGTCTCCCTATTCATTGATAAAACATAAATATCATTCAGACCCTGACTTTCTGAGTTGGGCTCTGTTTTCACAAAGTGTGCAGGAATAAACACATATATTTACAGAGCCATCATTACACATCTTCCTGTTCATGTGGGACGCTAAGAAAGCCACTCAGTTTGAATGGGTAGTCTGCATTTCAAATTAATGGGAGTTCAGAGACCAGAATGAGGTTTGTTCAGTGATTCTCAGCTCTCACTGCATGTGAGAATCACCTGGGGAGCTTTTGAAAAATACTAGTGCAGAGTCTCAACCCAAACCAATTAAATCAGAATTGCTAGGGGTGAGGTCTGAGCATTAAGTTTTTGTTTATAAAGCTCCTTAAAGAATTATCATTACTTTTTTTCAACATGATAAAAGCAAGTTTTTTTTTTTCTTTCTTTTTAAAAAGTCATTTTTAGAGATAGAAGAAGATTTGCTTTAAAATACTCCAGGGAGAGTGGGGGTTGATTAGAAAAGATTGGCAAACAATGATAACTGTTGAAGTTTAGATGATGGATACGCATTCATTACATTGTTCACTCTACTTTTGTATATTTAAAAAATCCTGAGAGGATAATGAAGGAAAAGGCATTGCACTGTGGCCATCCCCCACCCAGGCATGATTTCTCACTTTCCCTCTCACTGTCTGTCTCTCTCCGGCAAGTACACACACCCTGTGGCAAAAAAAACTATAATAAAAAGTGACTTTATACAGCTGGCCCCATGGTCTATTGGCTGAGGGAACCAGATCCCACATGCCTAACCATGATTTGAATCCCATCCTTGGTGGCTTAAAGAACATGTTGGGCATGCATGTGTGAGAGTATACACGTGCCCAAAAACCTAACAGGATGGAGAAATGAAGGAGAAGGAATTGTGGTGTGATCATGTGACCTTACCCAGTTGTGAGTTTCTTACTTTCTAACTTTATAGGATCAATAAAAATAAACATTTGTTCTCTACCCTACCAAAATATACAAGTGTATGTATATGATGTTTGTAATATAAAAAATTCTTCAAAATATATTAAAATAAAAGCTTTGCAAGTGATTTTAATGTGCAATCAGAGTCGAGACTCATGAAGCTATATTGTTGAAAAAGGAATAATTTGATTTGGACAACAAAGATTTAAGCAAGCAACAAGAGGCAATCCAGGTGACAGAGATTCAAGTCAGGCTTGTGTCAAGGTGAAACCCAGTGAGGGTGGCAGGCCTCCTCCTATCAGTCACCATCTCCAATTTCTGCCGTGTGTATATGTATGTGTGTGTGTGTGTGTGTGTGTGTCTACACACACATATATTAATTGTATATATTTACCTGGATTTTTAAGAATATCCATACACAAGTAAACTACAAATACATACAAATATACATATGTGTGGGTGTGTTTATATGTGTGTGTGTATATATATATATATATATACACACACATACATATATATACACACACACATACATATCTCTGTGTACACAATTCCAAACAGCACAATTACATTCAGTAGCATATATATTTTTTAAACATTTATTACGTAGAATGTTTCAGTGTGAAGTAGCACATAAAGGCATTCCTCAGGAGTGGGCAAGGGGGTGTTTGGAGTATGGTTTTCGGAACTAGCAAGCCCTGTGTCTACCTAAGTGATTTATGGATGGTGCTGCAGGAAAGCTCAAAAAGAGCAACCAAGTCTTAAGTTAATGAATAGAGAACACATCCAGACTCCCGCATCCCACCTCCAAAATCCCCAACTCACCTATTCTTCTCCATTTCATTGTGAGTCGATCTGAAAGAGGAAACAATATGAAAAGAATAAGATAATTCTTGTTCAAAAGGATTACTTCAACACCAATACAATTGTTTAATTTCTTCGTCTCCAAAGTCGGTAGGAGAGAAAACAGAGAAAGGGAGAAAAAATTCATTGGGCTTTACTACAGAAATTAGTCCATTTGGGAGCCAGATAAATATCTAAAATAGAGTTCAAGGAGAAGTGACAAGCTAAGAGGCATGCATTCCTTGGTGGAAAAGTAATCCATTTTAAGAAAGGAAATAAAAGGGGTCTATTTATACAAAGAGAAAAACAGCTGCACAGTGCAATGTGAATTTTGGTTATATAATACCACAAGCTTTCTTTAGGCCTACGATAGAACAGTGGAGGTGGCACCCTATCCCACCCCTGCAGTTTTTTCTAGGGGTAACATATACCAAAATTTTATGCAAAGCTGTTTGATTATAGAAAATAGATCTGTAAAATAACTACCTCCCTAATTTCTTGATTCTTTGAAATAACTATCTTATCATATACAACCTCCTGAAAGATGCTAATGTTGAATATTTTATTAATATTTTAGGAAAGCATTTTTAAAACTCAATTCAACTTAAAGATGACAGGTCATTTGAAGCAGAAGTTAGGGTAAAATCTGAAGTCCAGCTTTGCCACTGACAAGTACTGTGGAAGAAATAGAAGTTTTTGTCATTCTGTCCTTGGTTAATTCCTTTGTAAAATGGGGGTACAAATAATTGCCAATGATGTCCTGATCAAGGAGATAGCAACTATAAACGTGATCGGAGAGCCTTGGGTAAAAGGTGTGGTACATGTGAAGTCATATTATTAGTGTGTTTATATCTGACCTTGAAGATAAGGTCTGGTCTAAGACTTCATGGAAAAGTTTCCACCAAGTCACAGGAAGTCAGTCAATATGGCCCCTTAGCTCTCCCCTAGCCAGTCATAGAGAAGCTTGAGGAACCTCTCAGCATTATAAAGAAGCTGGATCTTGAATCTTCTTACAGAAGTTGTGTAGTATCTAACCAGCTTAGTTTACTCCTTGGCTCAGGTCACGAATTCTGTGAGACCATAATTGGCACCTTACCAGACCTAGGAGATAAATCCTCACAGCTATCATGGAGGGACATTACCTCAAGAATGCTCAGCTACTAATTTACATGAGGCGTGCCACCACCAAATTCACTCACACCAGAGACTGGGTATGGGGGTGTGTGCGCCTGAGTGTATATGTGTAGGGGCAGGGAGGGCTGTCTTGAAATGGGAAACTTCCAACCCAGCACTAAAACTTCTCTTTCATAAGGCCTTCAGGAAATCAATTTATATTCATGAGTGGTAACAAATGAGAAAATACAGACAGTATTTTAGGTTTTAGAATATTTGTTTTCTAGGTAAACGGTATATAGACCTCAAAACTTGAAAGCTTTAAATTGATTCACTTAGTTATCCCTCAGCATTCTTTAATCATACTTTTCTGAAAATTTACTTTCTTCAGTGGCCAACAAGACACCATAGTTAGCAAGAACCTAGTCTGCACTGCAAATCTTTGGCTTTAAAGCATGTGGCATTTTAGTTTTAACTGGAAACAATAAGTTCAAAGTCTGAGTTTTTTCTTAATGGATAATAACAGCTAGTCAAGACTTCCCTGTTTAGTTGTGGACAAGGACCATCTCCAGCAGGTGGAGAAGAAGATGACTATGTTGACAAGACATTAGAAAACAACAGCACACAGCATATACCAAAAATTTCTAGGATCTTTGAAGAGATATAGATTTATAGATTTATGTTAAAATTCTGAATCCTCAAGATAAACTTTCAAACAAGTCTAATAGAAAGTACAACTCCTTCCAAACTTTGAACAGAGTTTTAGAAATTACAGAGTTTATCTGACTGTTTAAGAGTGTCAAGCAGATTGTGCTTTTAAAGGGGTACTTACCCCTCAAGGGTAGGCTGTTACAGAAGTACATTTGGTTTACTTAAAATGAGTCATTAATAAAAAGCAGGTCAGAGTCTGCTACCTTCATTTATATTTTTGAATAAACATGTATATTTTTAATCAAAGCATTATCTTATACATGGTATTTTATGTTAAAACTATTTTCAATGTGATTATTGAAAAGATTTGATAGCTCTGGCATCACTGACAAAGGTCAAATTTCACCATTTAAAAATACACTCTAATGAAGAAGATAAGCCAAACTACAGTGTATCCGAGAAATGAGAAAAGTCCTCGGATTCAAAAAGAATGTCACGTCAGGTCAGCTATATAGCCACCGTCATAAAAGAACTAGGTGGTAACTCCTGGACTTCCTCTTTCACATAAATGCCAAAGCCTGCTTTACTAATTTAACAAAGCACACTTTCAAAAATTCTAGATTCAGTTCTAAATAATCAGTCATTGATTTAAAAAATCAGTAGGAAAGAAAAACAGATTCCATTTTTCTGTATTCTAGTAGTTCTCTAGATAATCCCCAAATACTCGATATCCTCAGTTTCATTTGTCTTTGTGTTCCTTTAAAAAAAAAAAAAAAAAAAAAAAAAAACA